GGAAAGAGCCGACCAGCATGCTATCACATGGAATGCGACTTTAGTCGCATTAAACGTCAATGCCTAATGACAATAATTGTTGATCGATAGCGCACTCGACGGATTGTTTTGGTCCCGCGAGGATAACTCCGACACATTACGTACACATCGTCAAATTGATTAGGACCGATCGTATCAATGTTAATTATTGATGACTGTCCATGTGTAAAAAGATCGACAAATTTTGTAAATTGATGTTAACAGATACACACATGTTTTGTCTGTTATTGGGATACGTAATCTAAAAAAAAAAAAAGAGGTCGTGTAACATAAAAGAATAAAAGATTAATAAACGGAGGCGCATGAGTTTGGACCGCTTCCAGCGATACGGGTGGATATAACAGTCGAATATAACAGATGAATATAATTATGTCCCGCGAATATTGTATGTTAAAAATATTTCATTACAAACGACTGTAACGCAAAGCGCGACATTTGCGTTTATTCCTTGATCACTGGCTATGTTATTGATAACATGCGAAATTTATCGCATTTGCATTGTAAATGCGAGAACAGGGATCATTTTCTGTATCCGCGAGCTATATCTGTGTAAAAGAAATAATTTGAACGGATTCGCATTGTACGAGGCATTACGTGGCTCGCTATCCTGATTCATCCCAAATAATTGACTTTTTTACGTACATCTTCCAAAGTAACAAACAGTTTATATTATTATTTGCACATATATGTAACGGATATTACTTTTTTTCATATCTTTCTCTATAATTTAAACAATAGAAAGAAACCATAAAGTACATCATAACAATATCAGTATTTTTCAGATATTAATATCGTGTTTTTCATTCGAAGATAAATATTATTATAAGGCATTAATTTAAATTAGGTGAATAATTAAAGAGCCAACGCCAGTTATACGTTGTTTATCCCTCTACACTTTTCACTTAATAAAATAAAATTAAAAGTTCAGCTACTTTTCCTAAAAAAAAAATTCCTGTCGAAATTATGTTGCACCTAAATTCGGCGTGCCATTTCACACAACTAATACGAACGCAAGTAGAGCATACGGGAAACGTTGACCCAGGTCAGTTAACCCTGAGAGAGAGAGATCCCTTTGCAGCCTTTTACACGTAGGGCTATCGAGGGTGATCGGAAGTGTCTTTATCGCGAGCATGCTGCTCGTTGAAGCTTATAACTTTCACCTTTATCATTCTCATCGCTCGAAGCCGGAAGCCCTTTGTCTCTTTGTCTTCCCTCGCCTTTCTCTTCGTTTGATCACCGACGAAGCGATGCGTAAATCGTATTTTTAAAACTAGATTGTTGCTCCCGAAAATATCTTCTCTCCGCTCGTCGAAATGATTATCAGCTTGTTTCTTTTATGCGGGCTTAGTTTTTTCATATATATAATATTTTGCTCACACATTGTTGACAAATATAATATTAATTTATTGAAAAGGTTTTCAACCTGGACTGAATTTAAAAGATAACACACTACCAAATTTTTTTATAAATTTCTAAGTAATCTAAAGTAAGAAAATTGTTAAGAAATATTAATTTACTAATTATATTTTTTCATAATAAGATATACAGAAGTTCTATTATACGATAATATAGGTGCAGTGAATACGTTCAATACTTGCTCCAAATAATTCTAGAATCGAAAAGTGAGAAAAGCAAGAATTGCGTCGCGCGACAGGCAGATCGTTCAACACGATTCCTTTTCTCGCGATCGACATTACCCGTTTTCCAGGCATCGCGACTGCAAGAGATCGATTCTCATTTCAATGGCGTAATATTCGTCAGGCACGAGAGAACCGCGGAGGCGGCCCGCGTTACACGGCGCAGCGCCGGCTTTCGTTTGCGCGAAAACTAGCTGCCCCTCGTCTCATTTTCAATGCTCAGGCTGCAGGGGGAGTCGGCAGGATACTCGAAAAGTTTAAGGCTCGTAATAAATGGCTCTCGGCGCCCCCCACCTCCCCTCCGTCCGCCGGGGCCCGGCGCGCCCGGATATCATTAATTAACAGTAATTAACGCGCGCGCCGACCTCCCTTCCCTTCCCTTCTCACCCCTCTCCGCGGCGAAGTTTCCGCCGGCAGTCGCGCGTCTTGTCGATGAGGGATGAAATCCGCACGCGAACTGCTCCGACGAGTTCGGCGAGCTATGTATCGAGGGATATATCGTCGATGAACCGAGTCATCTATAATACAACGACCGGTACCCGGGATACATATTTCTTACAACATCCGGTATAATATAGCGGACGTTCAGTTAAAATAACGCGTCATATTTCACGAATCTGACGCGGGGCAAACTACCAGCCGCCGGAAAATTATTACGCACACATATATACACACGTGAGAGAGCTCGCTTAAACATAAAAATACATTTCACGCTCGATCAATGTCAATGAGAAATAATGGGCGCGGGAGGTGGATCGCCCCGTTAAAGTAAACTAAGCAACGAGTTCAGGTTGTGTTCTGAATGTCGACGAGATTGGACGTCATTGATTAGCGATAATGCAATATGGGCAATTAATTTTCATTAACTATCGAACTTTGTGCTACCATGTTGTGCGGACCTCGGATACTCTCGAAGGAGTCCTGCGCACAGCATCGATTTTCCCCTGGGAGATCCAGTGTCCTCAATGAAGGAGATAACAGCAAGTTTGGACGGACTCGCGAGTTGCATGTCATATACGAAAATAAACTACATGCATAATTATCATTAAGATTGCGCTTTAGATTTATTACGTATAATAATTATATTGTAAAATACTTATTATATTATATCGCGACATTATTTTACTGTTGACTTATTTTATTAATAAATAGAACACAACGCAGAAAATCTTATATTTTCTTAAAAATGCGTTCTACTTCTGAAATATATCTATATAAATATATATTTCTTTTTTTACTACCAAGATTACGAAAAGAAGCGTCAGATGTCTCTCGCTTTCGTAGAAAATTTCTCCGCATTTTAAGTGAATTATGCTAACGAAGTTCATTAAAACGTAGAAAGCTGGTTTTTAGGCGAGGATTAAATTAATTTTAAATAATTTGCTGCGCCATGTAATAAATTCTAAATTCATCTTCCTCGCGCTTAAACCCGATCTACGAAGCAAATGCGCAAAATGCGGCATCGTCAATGACGTCGAGTCGTCATTGCGTGACGCGAACGATACATTTATCGTTGCGACGCAGGAAGAAAATGCCGCGGCGTTCTACATTTCGCGTAATATTCCTCGCGATTTTTACATCCTTCTGCGCGGCATTACCGAGAAAGCGAAATTCGCGAACGAGAACCTCGGCAATTGGTGAACGCCCAATCCGGCGCGACGACGTAACGATTCTTGCGAATTTCATCGTCGTAACTGCTCTTTGAACTCGCGCAAACGTTCCGCTCGTTTCTCGAGAACGAGGCCAGAAATCGTAACACAGTATTTCACTTGTCTGCAAATTTTCCCTGCCACGTAATTTATGCCATCGTAATGGCCGTCGTTCCGATAAGCGGTCGCATCTTCAGGTCAAGGAAAATGGACGGCGAAATTTTTCTTTCTTTTTTTTTTTTCAAAAAAAAAAGGGGAGTGCACGTAGTCGGTCGTAAACAGTTTAAAAAGTCGAGCAACGGTACAATTCTTTTAGGAACTATCGTTCTCAGAAGAAGACAAAATCTACGAATAAGATACGAGAAAAGTAATGGAATTGCAAATAAAAAAAAAGGATTGAATTAAATTATCATCCGGAGAAACGGAAGAGAAACGAGAGAGAAATATAGTGCACAGTAATGCACACAGAAAAGAAAAATAGAAAATTCCGTTTTAAATTGGCGGATGCTGAAAATATTCTAAGTACAAAGCAATACGAAAAACGTTATACGATTCATTTTATAATTCATTTTGGCATCGCTGTTCCCATTGTAGCACACGTTCAACATATTATTCTGCCATCTGTTGTGTGAACTCTTTGTCTATCGTCCGCTAAAGAGAATTGGGACGTTGCTATCTCTTACACAGATCGTTCACGTGATCGAAATCCGCGAAGACCCGCGTGGCGTGGATTCATGGATCGCGTCGTTGCGTCGAGCACAACGCAACGAGCTGCGGAGGAAAAACGAGGAGAGAAGGAAAGAGAGAAGCAGACCAGAGGTCTCGGGGAAACAGCGTGAAAGTGTTTCACCTGGCGAACGTGACCGTGCGAGGCCGCGATCGCCGTTAAGCCGATTTACGGGCGCACGTGCGAGAATTTCGCGGGCGCAACGGGACGGATAATGACGTTAAGAGGATTCACTGGAGCTTCCGCACTCACGTGTCGTGTATGCGAGATCTCCTCACGTTCGCCTTCGTCTTCGTCGCCGCATCACGTGCATCGCGTGTATCGCTCGGCCGGGCGACGACACGCTTTGAGGCGCATCGCGAGATGTATATCTATAATACGGCCAAGAATCGACGCGTCGCGGTTCTCGCGGATAACGCTTCTCGTCGCCAATTCGTACAGAATAATCCTTTTTCATTCGAGTATCGAATACGTACCAAGTGAGTGAATTTTTTCTCGATAATAAATACATAATCGATACCTCGGCTGAAAATTGTTCGTGTTAAGAAGACAAAAAGCAGCGTCAATTTGGTGATTACAATAACGAGGTGCTAATTCTGATGGTGTCGTGCTATCTTTGCGTAATTCTTAAAAAAATTACTAATATACTATTAAAGAGTTATATATAAATCATTCTAGTGCAATTTATTAAATCATAGAAAATATATTATTATTGTATTAAGTATATTATTGATGTTATCGCGATTGATGAAAATCGATAAAATATTATTCTCGTGCAATAATCGATACTATTCTCAGCACATTTTATATACAATTATGAAAAAAATATTTATAAATAATAGAAAGAAGATACACGAAATGAGAGACAAATAATTACAAATCTATACATCAGTTATGGTAAATTTCATGGGAATACTTTTGAAATTGTATGCAATGGATCTGTTTCAGTTATCTCGAGATATATAACGAGAGAGTGAGGGATCTCCTGAAGCCGTCGACGAGCACGAGCGGTCTCCGAGTTCGAGAACATCCTCGACTAGGACCCTATGTTCAAGGTACTCCGCTAGTTTACCGTGAAACGTCGCGCACCGAGAACGCCGGCTAAAATTCCTCGAAAGTCTTCTTACTCACAGAGTATACCTAAATCTGCGCTATTAATTCTTCTCTTATTTCACTTCGCGACCGTCTTTCCCCGCTCCATAATATCTCTTTTATTCGCTGTGTTATTACAGTCAAATATAACGTAAATATAGCAAAATTAAATATTGTACCAAATCACATTAAATATATTAGTAATTCTACAAGTAATTTTTGTAACTCTATTTCGATATTCCTTTTGTACGATTATATCAGAAAAATATTAATTATAATTTTATTAAATTAAAAGAGATTTTTATTCAATATGGTCACCATTATTTCCCATATGAAAATAGATGCATTTTGACTTCTTAAACCTTCTAATCTTAAGTTATTGCGTACTTGCATCCTTGAGCTTCCGATCGATTAATCTATTCCCAGATTGTAAAATCCTTGAATGGATTGATTCTCGAATCTTGTCATCTTCGAATTGTAGAGTGCTATAGTACTCTAAGTTATACTACAATATATTTTTTATAGTATTTCAAATCACTGGATTCTTGATGTTTAAAATGACGAAAATTCTCTATCTCGAATACAGTCATTTTTCAAACATTTCTGCAGTTCACATTATAATCTACTCACCATCATAATCTACTCCAACAATGAAACTTAATTGATACGTCTCGCAATTGTGATACGAATTAATATGTTTCGTCATCGATGACTCTCCATTTCCCCGATCGAGCGATCTCCGTTTCTCTTTTTAGGATTAACGCACCATGTGGTTCGCACCCTGGGTTCGTTGATATCATACGTGGAGGAGGGCGCGAAGGCCAGGAAGACAGCCTCGACACTTCAGAACCCCAGCAGCAGTCGCAGCCACGCTCTGCTGACCGTCGACCTCTCGCAGGAGACGACCGACGCCGAGCGTCCCAACGGCAGCGGTACTCCCGTGTCCTCCAGGAGGCAGGACGCCACTTCGCGCGGCGGTAGCAGGTTGCACCTAGTCGATCTGGCGGGCAGCGAGAGCGCGGCCACCTGCAGCGGCGTTCATCGACTGAAGGTGAGTCATTTCCTAAAAATAATATCGTCCGCCGGAATATTCGCCGGCTGAATTTCGCGCGATGAAAATCGATATTCGCGCGGGCCCGCTTCGCGGATGGATAGAGCCCCCGTTATCAATCTCGTCCTGGCCGCCGCCGCCGCGTCGCGCGCTAATAGACTCGCCTAATCGACCGTCGGAGTTACTCGTGAAAGTAACAAGCGTGAAAAACGCGGACGCGAGGAAGCGTTGGGACGAATCTAAAACTATTTTGTTTACCGAAACGTTTCCGTAGATTGACAAACTGAAGATATCTGTAATTATTGGAACACAAGTGTTTAAGGGAGTCTTATACATGTGTGTCAGTGATACTCGTATTGTTAGCACCTGTCTCCATTTTCGCGGGTATATAGTTCTGTGCATACGCATGAAAATAGATTTATTTTCATGAATTTAAATATTGTGTAGATAAGATAAATATGTTAGTGCTCCATGAACTAATCCACATGCGATTTTGTCATTATTATGATTGAGCATCGACGTTGGTGGTGATCATGCCTTCTACGATACGGAAAGAATCATCACAACGTCGTAAAAATTCAGGAATCATCGTTAATAGTATTTCACGTAAAAAAGTACGTTTTCATTACTAAAAATTCATGCGTTAAACTAATAAATTTCTTTAGTACAATACACATACACATGTGCTGACAGATTTGCATTATTCAAAAACACATGGGATATTGCCAAATCGATTGTCGCAACATTTTTCATAGTATTTACTTTCAAATCTACAAAAGCAGATAATTATCGATATTAAAAATTTTTTTTTTTAATTAAGAGTGAAGAATAAATATATAATAATATTCAATAAAAATATTCGCCTAACAATTTTGACATTACTTTCGCGTTATTCTTTTTTGCTATCGTTTTGTAGGAAGGTGCAAATATCAACAAGAGCCTGGTGGCTTTAGGGAACGTGATATCCGCACTCGCCGAGAGAGGCTCAACCGGGAGTAGGCCAGGAAGAAGATACATCCCTTACAGAGACTCTTCGCTTACTTGGCTGTTGAAGGATGCACTCGGCGGAAATGCCACCACCATTATGCTCGCCAGTAAGTGTCTGCCGGTATTTTCCTTTTGATCTTTCCCCAACCGCCCTCCTAAACTCGTATTCTCCCCCTATTTTCAGCCCTCGCGATCTTAGAACGTTCGACGTTAAGAGGTTTCCTTCCAGGAACATTCTGCCCGCGCAAATCGCGTTTCGCCGTGTGTATTTTCGTGAGGAAATTATAAGCTCGCTTTTCCCCTCTTTTGATCTCGAACCCTCCATTTTAATATCCTTTCTGTTGCCAGAACGAACGCACCGTTCCTCGCGCGCAGACTGAAATCCAACGACCAATTCGACATTGCTTAATTGGCCCTTTTAGTAACGAAGCTTTCGCGTTGAAAGAGTTAATTACGATCGGCTGTTGTTTAATAGATTAGTTTACTTCACGTTCTTTCGCCTTTCTCGTTAAAGATTATTCAAATCATTCAGATGTTTTCCTCCGAATTTAGATCTTTTCCTTTTTGCGATCGTTGGAACTCATGGGCGAAAAGGGCCGGCTGTTTCTTTCCTCTCTTTGCAGCGCGGCAATTCCTCGTTTTCCCATAAATTACATTATAGTTATCGGAGAAGAAATATTATCGCGAGATTTGTGAAATTATTCCTATTCGCGATAACCCGGGCTGGATGTAATTGGTTTAAATGCTTTTCCAGGCGAGCTAAGACGCGGAGATTAAATTTCAATAGAGCCGAGATAGAGAGACGCGAAAAGCGGTAAATAAGAAATCTGTAGTGAGCTTGCGACAGTAGCTACGTGATCGATCCATCGAGCCAATATTCTTCCCGCAGTATATGGTAGTCGTTATCGAACATGATTTAATATTTTTAATATAATATAAAAATAAATGCTTTACACAACTGTAATATATAATTCACCAATATGCAGATTTAATAAAAAAATTATTGAGAGCCAACAAGTTTAATATCAACAATAGCAATTGACTGACGATTACTCGTAAAGAATGTTTTCTAAACCATTGATTAATTAAACAATTAACTAAATTGTAAAATAATAATTAAATACTACTGAAATTTTTATGTAAATTCACATTTTTAATATTATTTAAAACTTTAGCTTTGTAGAAAGCATGTTAGAAATATTTAGGAACTTAATCTGACTTCTCTAGTGAACTAACTGTGTTCGTGACGGATTTATCTCTCATTGTAGCGTCACCTTAGAAGGATGTCGCCTGATTATATTTGACTCTCTTTGATTGCGTTAATCTGCACAACAGTTTCCCTTGAGAGAATAAAGGCTAATTGGACAGAATGTTATCATCAGAAATTATCATCGTAAATGACGATTAATCGAATGTCGAAATTGTCATTTTAGAAAAACGCTATCTTTTTGTAGAAATCAATCGTAGTTAGATAAAGCACGTAGAGAGGTTTGCGTTACACAGTACTGATAGATAAATCGATAAATCTTCATCTTTGCGAATCAAAATTGATATCTTTACCTTAGATTAAAATCAAATTAAATTAGAATTTAAAATAAAAGAAACGATAAAATACATCATTTACGGATCTCTATACTTTGGAGACGAATGTAAAAACTATTAATGTCGAATATCTTCCTATTTAACCTTCTTTAATTAAATTTATAGCACTATTGCGTGCATTGAAAACATTGTAATTTTTAAGATACGTTATCGTATTCGAGATCGTTGAGGTTGCCCGTGAAAGGGAAGGTAAAATCTCTATACCCTCTGTTTAACTGTTTATTTCGATTCGTTGATCATATCGCGATATTTTTATCTCTTCCGTCGTGATGAACCGATGAAACTGACGTAATTGAGCTGGCGGCGTTAGAGACGTTAATCAAGGGAAGGCGCGCCGGTCTTCCCTCTTCCGACTCGTCACAATTAATTGCCGAAATGGAAGAGTCGATCGCACGATCCGTATAATTGGCCGTGGAACAACAGCGGCACGGCGAGTTTTGCGAATACTTCTAGCCGGCCCGGCGACGTGTATAATTAATCGTAGCGGAATATTCCGAACCGCTGATCATCGGCAATTAATTGAATTGCTAATAGCATTTCGGTTTATTATCGGGGAGACGTTCAATATTCAACGGGCCCGCATTTGTGATTGAGCGCGCGTAGAGTGCGTATATAGATGAATAGACATTACATTATCCCCGCGGACCGCATACGGCCGCCCGCCGCCGCCGCCGCGATGGTGGATTTTATACGTCGATTCCGCGGCACGACGTCCGCCGCGGAAAAGGATACCGTCCGCTTGAAAATTCATTTCGGATTATCGGAGCTCTCGGCGAGCCGCGGAGTTATTTCCGGTTGACTTGTCCACGCGGAGTTTCGCGTTCCCGTACATTTCCTCTCGATTAATTCGACAGACGCCCGCCGTTTGGAAGTATCATCTGATTATCTGTATGTCTGCGGATTTATGAATGCGGCGGAATATACCTTGTACAGATCTGTCTTTTCCAAAGAGCAAGAAACGGAGTGTTTCTGCATTGAAAATGCACGTGACGTTCCCTTTGGTGAACTGAAAATATTTCGCACGGGTCTCATACAGCTGTCTCCGAAATAAACGAATAGTATTCTGCGATATTTCGCGATAGGCACCTTTAGTAGATCTTATTCATGAAGCAATCAATTTCATTACCCAACATTATCGATATCCAATCGCTGACGTACGATTGTAACTTAGAGTGCAAATGTGCCGCAGCCGCTAGCATTGATCAGGAAATCGCACTGTAACGATTGAATAGCTGTAGTTGGAACGACAGTTTCATCGTGTATTCTCGAAGTTAATACGAATCTTGTTTTTTTTCTTTCAGCAATATCCCCGGCTAGCGGAAGTTACAACGAGACCGCGCACACCCTACGATTCGCGCAGAGAGCGCAGAGCGTGGTCAATCGACCAGTGGTCAACGAGGATCCCGTGGAGAGAATCATCCGTGAGCTAAGGGCCGAAGTCGCCAGATTAAAGTCTTTATTATTGGAAAAGGCAAGGAAAACTTTTTCTTTTTGATATTTTACTCAATGTAAATTTACGCGAATTATGTGAGAAAATATTAATTCGAGGATTAAATACGGGATATGTTAAATTGAAAAATAAATATTAGCTAAAAAAGAATCAAGAAATATTGAAACTCTCAACGTCGCATACATAGATAGAAAAATTATATTAGCTTTTCAAACAATCAAGATAATTATGTAGAATTTGACAATATTTGACGATACATATAGCTTTGAATACTAATTTAAATTTCGATAAAATACCAATTATTTGCGCGTTACACATTCCGGGGCTATTTCACACACGATCAAATATATCTTGATTTTTTTTGCAAATTTTATCTGCAGAAGTGTTATTTTAATCGAATAAAAATTAACAGCACTTTCTCGTTTGTCTTCTGACGCGGCTGGAATGAAAAATCGAGCTTGGCGGAAGCGAGGCTGAAAACGCGAAAGGATTTAATCCCCGGCCTGATGTTGATCGAGCGACTTTATAACGCGGCCGGAGATTCGCATGCTGCCGGCAGAAAATATTAATGAGTTTCGAGCGGCGCGCGATCGGTAATAGCGCCGCATTATAAAACAAATTTCGCAATTTTGCTCGACGTAGCGCGCGCGGATCCGCGATAAATAGCGGCCGATTTTTCAGTCGCGTTTTAACTCGCGCACGACAGGGTGTGAGAGTTTATTATCGGGGGGAGGGGGGGGGGAGGTTACCAATACGAGCGGCGCCGCGATATTGTCCGATGTCATTACGCAAATGAGATTCATTGATCGTTTATTTGACACTTATTGAGCGCCCGTTGCGAGCGATTGGCCGAACGATTGCTGATAAAATATAGCACGCCGATGTGTTACGCTTAACGAGCGAACAGCGTTTCCATTTCCATCAGGTAGTTTCCATCCTTCATTTCCGCACGATGCATAATCGCCGATTAATTAAATTCCTCATGCCTCGTCCGCAATCGCAACTTCGCCGACTATCCACGGGCTTCCGCGTCGTGTTTTAAATCCGAGATAAAATATTATTCATGCACAATAATAATTTCTTTTGAAAGATGGAATATTATAATTGTGATGTATATTGGAGAAATGGATATATTAAAACAAAATCAAACGCTTCTCTTTTTCGTCAAATGTAGAAAGAGAAATTGTCACTTCAATTCGAAATAATGCAAATATTAATTTTAAGCATCGATTTAAATATCAATTAATAATTTTTAATTACATAATTCATAATTTTAATAAGGATGGAGATTACTGCAAATTTTAATATATAATAAAAAATTAAAAAATAGTATATGAAAAAGAATTAAAGAGAAAAATTATCTAGTATCTGAAAATATTCATGGAGAAGACGCATAACTTTAAAGTAATCGAGTGTAGTTGCAATATGGCGAAGATTAGAACTACATAGCTTACTACATAGCTTAAAGAAATTTCGCTATCTAAATATGACATATTCATTTTCCGTTTAAATTAAAATTAGTTATACGAATCTTATTGCAGGATATCGACCAGACTAAGGCGCCGTGCTGCTGCGGCAAAGTTCAAAGTTCAAAGGATTCCGCGAGAGATCCTCAGTATCGCGAGGAACAGGAATCGTTCAACACTTCGCGACTCGAGGAATTCGATGATAAGGAAAAGACTGTACAATCGAAAGATAACAAATTTCTGGATGTACTTCCGATAAGAAGATTCAATTCCAGTGATAGTGTGACGGCTTGCGAGACGGGCTCTTCAGGGCCCATCAGAAGATTCAATTCCTACGAGCATCTGCAACTCTCGAATCGCTTCGTCGGCAATTACAACCAGGCCAAGGTTACAGAGCTGAACGACGAGGACGACGAGGTGGTGGACGAGATCAACGAACCGGTCTTCGTGGACATACCGACGCTGGTGGCTGTGCTGATCAAGCCGGACGACAGCCTGCAAGAGTCGTCGGCGCAGATCGAGGAGATTTGTTCCGACGAAGTGCAAGAAGATTCGATCGATGCCGATTTTATAGAGGGCAGCAACGAGGATTTCGAGGGGTCGGAAAGGATCGACGACGTCGATCCTGACAATCGCAGCAGTTCGGCGAATTCTTGTATCTTGAAAGACTCGGAGATCGTTGATCTTCATCAGATTACGTCAGCATGCCCTCCGCCAAGTCCGGCGTCCGTTGGAAGAAGTAAACCGAGAGGTAAGTTCAGTAAGCAAAACTCAGTCGATTTGCCTTCGTCGAACTTGAACGTCTCGAAGAAGTTTGGCTCGATCGACGGGATCAGCAAGAAGGAACCAACTTTCGGCGTTCAGCGATCGCACACGAACTTGGAGAAACGTCCGACGTTGCCCGATCGTGGGAAGAAGCTCAATAATATCCGCGAGATAGACGATCGCAAGACAAATGTTAAGTCGGGTAGCATCTGGAGGGCGATCGGCAGCAAGGACCATCTGCAGAGAAAGAGCAGCAACGAGTCCGACAAGAGTTTAAGGGACTCCATCAGTGGCAGAACAGGTAGCTACAGCAGCATCGGCAGAAAATCGAGTTTGGAGAGCTTGAAGAGGAAGACCAGCAAGGACAGTAGCTCGAGCAGCTCTAAGGACGAACAGATCTTGTTCTCGAGCTTGGCGCGCGACAAGCTAACGCGCAGAAAGAGTTCGTTGGACCAAGAAGCGGTAGCGACAGCGGTCGGCGGTTTAAAAAATCACACGGCTATTCAGAGAGTAAAGCGCGCCGAGATTGTCGCGGCCGTTACAGAAAGGCTCTACTCGAGCCGAAAGCATGCGGAGGAGAGTAATATGCCCAGTAGCAATGCGTCAGATACGCGTTCACCACCGGAGGGCGATGTGAAGATGCCAAACAGTCTCATAGCGCGATCGAAGCTCCAGGAAATTTCACGCAAAATGTTGATGAAACGACGAAGGATCACCGTTGACACGCAGACGGAAACGGCGTCGACGCTGCGCTTCAAGGATACGGCGTGTCTGACGGACCAGCCGAAGGTGGTTCTCCAAGACGCAGCGGTTCTCACGGACGATCACGCGGACGGAGAGGTCGCGGTGTTCGCGACGACGGATCGCCGATTGCCTGTTCTCAGAGTAAAGGACGTGGCAACGCTGACGGATCGACGGCCGCCAACCAGCATCTTCCGCTGCAAGGACGCCGAGAGCCTGACCACCGATCTCGACTTCGACGACTACGAGCTGCACTCGCCGCGAAATGACTCCGGTATACTTTCCGACGACGCGCAGAATTACGCCGAGAGTAATCTGTCCAGCGTTGACGTGTCCGAGCTTTTTCCGGAGGGCGGTGACAAAAGAGTGCCGTGCGTGGACAGCTCGACCAACACGTTCCTCGCGGGAAAAAACCTGGCCGTACAAACGGTACGCTCGGAAACGGCGAGTCGGCAGAAAGATCACTCGGAGAGCAGAAGTTACAGCGGATGCTGTAGTTTGATTCACGAGCTCAGCCAAAACGCGCGAGCAAGTAGTCCCGAGAAAAACATTATCTCCATATCTCTACCGGAAATGATCAGCATAACTATCGAGAGCACGAACACTCTAGAATCAAGGATCGCGGTGATCGACGGCAGCGATGCCGTGGAGGAGAAACCGAAATCCATTTCCAGCGACAAGGCAGCTCAGACGGATGAAGAGATTAAAAATGGAACTGAAGGATGTCTTCTAAAGGATTTTGCAGTTAAGTCGACGGCCATTCAGGCGGACGGCAGAGTTTTCAGAATCGAGAATATCTTTCAGGATCCGAAGAGCAAAAGCTGTCAAGACGCGTCTTCCGATCTGAAGAAAGAGACTACGATGAAGAAGTCGGTAACTTTTAGAAGTTCCTTAGGCACTTCCTCCGTCATCGAGACGGAAGAGAACGGCGCAGAGATGGAATGGAACGGAATATACAATGGTGATGCCTGTCAGGGAACGCGGCCGATTCCGAAGGGCAGTTTAACGCAGGCTTTCATCGTTAAAAAACGTAGCTATAGTTTGAGTCCTACAAGATCAACACACAGACTTGCCCGTCATGATCTATGGAAGAACTGGACCCTTCCGTGTCCAGAAAGATCGAAATTTACCGATTATAATACAGAGACTGTGCCATCTTTTGCGCAGCAAGATATTAATTTAGAACTAGTTGATGATTTGATTTCTTCCACGATAAACAGCGAATACACGTTTGCCGATACAATTTCAGAAAAACCGGCTCGGGAAACGTGTAAAGACTCGCGGAATAGCTGCAAGAATGTGAAGAAACCGAAATCTATTTCGTTAAAGAACTTATTAAGCTGCGATCACAATTTTTCAGATGACAGTCTTGATTATGACGAAGACAATGTCGCGAAAAAAACAATCGAGATGAAAGCGTTAAATGATGATGAGAATTACGAGAACTTTTGTCCTCCGGATGTCGTTGCGCACACGAAGAAGGAAGCTTCGAAATCGGTGAATCATGTAAATTCGACTAACGTCGAGTCCTGGATAGACGATAATTTTGACGATACTCAGATAGATTTTCCGAAAAGAAAACCTGATGAAATATTAGAGAAGAGTCCAATGCAGCATTACAAGGAATTGATTCTAGGGACATCGTTATACGTTGTGGATAGTGATTCTGAAGAAGATGCAAAAATCAAACAGCTTGATAATACCAGCAAGAAGAAGGTGTCTTTTTCAAATCCCAGTAGCCTCGAGAAGATAATTGACGTCGTGTCTAATCGTAAAATTCTGGCATCAAAGCAAAACTCAGAGATAGCTTTAAAGCCCATTATCAAGAAGGCGAGGAAGAAGCCGGTTGTGAGTGAAAGTTTAGACATCATTCGATCGAATGTCGAAACTGATCAGTCCTTACAGCGGAAAAAGATAGAATCAACGAAGAGCGAGGAAGTTCTGCCTGCCTTGAAAGAGAATCGTGATTCTGAGAAGAACTCCGAAGAACCGCTTAACGACGAGAAGAGGAACTTCTCCAATGAGGATCCTCGCAACAAAGTTGTCGAAGGCAGGATCATCGACGAAGACACGCATTCTCGTACGGCGTCGAAGAGAAATATTCTTGAGGAGTATCTGAACGAGGCAATAACCTTCATGCGCAACATGAACTCTATCAACGAGTACATGAGTGCCACAAACATGTTGGAGAACTATACGAGGCGTCGCAGAAGACGAGTAGGTCGTCGTGGGAGTAATCCGAGCGCGGATAAAGATTACATAGAGTTCCGAGGGCGCAGAGTGAGCCTGAAGGATGACACCGACAAATACTTGCGACCGGACAATGGTGAAATTGTTGCTATCGAGTCCTACGTAAAATGTTTGAGAGGCATCGAAAGATTGGAGGCGTGCATCGATAAAGTTAGCAAGCACAACCGGATCCTGCGAGACAGATACGGCATCGATGTCGAGTCTGCTGGCGCTAAATCGAGTTTAGCGAGTTCCAGTGTAGACTCCAATGTGCCCAGCATCAGTGACGGCGATGTCCATCAATGCGGGGACGCGGTTTCCGAAAATAATGCTGAGAATTGCGACGAGTCCAATCTTTCCGGGATTCCCTTGCCGCTTTTGTCTTCCACGCGAACTGACGTCGCGAAACGATTTACGTTTAATGAGACGGAAAAATATCGAGCTGAAATAGATAAACACGATCTTGACGACAAGAACAACAATATTACAACTGAGGATGATCTCGAGCGTAAAATCTTCGATCAACTAATGCGCGCGGCCGACCTTGGTAAATGCTGGAGTCCGAGGCAATCCCGACAGGAACGCCTTCGGAAAATATCCGATTTTAGATCGCAAAGCCCGACAACTTACTCCAAGTTACGAGGGACTTTCCAACAGAACGCTCATGGCATCCTTAATTTCGACAAAGTTTCCCCCGCCGAGGATTATCTCGGCCACATTCGCGGAATCGAGAGTAGCCCCTGGATGTTTAGAAAAACGAAACTGTCGGATCAAACGAATGATATTAGCTCAAGCACATCGATCGATCTTGAAATTGATTCTGAAGAATTTTGTGACGAAGACAATGGTAATTCGTCAGATATCGAGGCGTCGAACGAGCCGACGATTTTTCAGATAAAACACAATTATCTAATAGACTCTACAAAATCGATCGAAACAGAACCGCCCTATGCGGAAAAAAAAATTGCGCGAAGATCAAAAGATAATTTAAGAACTGAGTTAACAAATCCCAGTTTTGGAGATTCTTTCACTTTAGAATTGAAATATCCCGGTAGTCCAAGAGCAAAATTTTTGGAGCTTTTAAGGGAGAGGAGACGTATCGTAGAAAGCAGCAGAGGTACGAATGCATTTTAAAGAGATCAAGCATCATTCAAGCAATCTTACATTACAGATCTATTTTTAACATATATTTTGTATTTTGATCAGAGAAAAAGAGAGAAAGAGAATAGTCGATTTTAATAATTATAATAATCGATTTATGTATAAAAATATTTTATGAGAAACTTGTAAATAATGGCATCGTAATATTTGCGCAAGTTTCATGTTTTCTTAATTGCATCAACTTTTTAATTTAACAACTCAATCACTAAATGTAATTATAATAATAATTGTATCGATTAATTATGTGCAATTATGTGCAAAGTATTAATGGACTTTAACTCCTAGAAATATGATAGAAAATGTATATATTAAAGTGGTTTGTCCAATTTTCACATTCAATATTTAACATTTAATTTTTTGATATTGTCATCAAAGTTTGATATTTGAGATGTCAAACCTTGCAAATTTCACAATTTCACAAGTTCTATAAAAATTTTAATTTAAAGATCATTAACAATTTTCATATATTATGTAATTCAACTAACGATATCTTGTACATAATGATAAGTAATAATTTATAATCAATATTTCCAAATTAATAATGCACAAAACTTGCTAAAAGATTGCCCACTCTACAAATTTTTATACAACTTGTATCATAAAAATACCATAAAATATTAATAATAAGCTAAAACAATTTAATTTATAAGAATTGTATTTAAGAACCGTTAATCATATCTTTATGAAAATATATTAATATTGCAATGTTAAATCATAAGATAACAAAAATAATTATTGTATCATTCATAAATACCGTTTAATAAAGATTATTTTATGAAATAATAAATTTAATAATAAATTATTATCCGCTAATGTAAAAAAGAAGATAGATAATTCTATGAATAGAATTGTATTATATTGATGTAGTATATTTCAATCAATAGAATTTTAAACTTATCAGTTTAAAATTACTTTTATCTTCTTTAACATAGCCAAATTTGCTAATATATTTCATTCAATACGATTCAATATTTTTATGGAATAAACTCGCATAGGACGCAAACTCCTCGATTAATATCGTTATTCGACGACATGTGTAACGCACTGCAAAACTCATCGATAATAATTTTACGGGGCAAAGGCGCTCGTATTTCGTGTCATGAAATGACAGTTAATGGCCGACGCAGGCCGCGCTGTTTCAGGAAAGAACTGACGCATGTGCTGCGTTTCGTGCGATGCTGAATGTGCCGCGTTCCTGACGCCGGCAATTGCGATCCTAATAATGTCGCGAGCCGAGCGAAACGTCGCCAGGAGAGCGACAGCTTACAACGGCTGTTTCATTTTATTGCGTGATAAATCTCCGATACGCGAGAACTCCCGATGCACTCTTATTGCATGTCCATATTCATTGAGTCTCTTATTAAAAAATAGATTCAAATTATAAAAATAATTTTTCTAGTCATTTTACATATTTAAAAGCACTTGTTTCTAAAAATAATGCAACTCTACTACGTTTTTTCAAATAAATAAGGATAAAACTGTGACGCATAGAAAAAAGAAGTGGAATTAAAGATAACATGAATCTTGATAAACCCGCATGCGATTGACTTTCGTGAAATTGATCGATTCGCAATTTTATTAATTTAGTTTTTAATTAGGGCACAGTTTTTTTTTTCTACGCATGGTTCACCCGAATGAAATATCAGGAACGTCGAAAGATCTTTCTTAGTTTCCGCGAGAATAACATGCCTCGTGGCGGAGAAACGCGCGCGATAATGCGCATTGTCATCGAAATACGAAGACTGAAATTGTGTATGGATCGCGAAGAGATGTGCAGGCTGATAATTGCGTTTCTGAGCCGTCGCTTCCTCCTCCACATCGATAAAGACCGATCCGACGCATTATGCGCGCGGCACGTTCTGAAAACTGCCGCCACGTGCCCCGTTTTCCGCTCGTCGTTTTGCCTTTGATGCTGATGCAAGCGTAACGATGCTCGTTTACCCTCGCACACATCGTACGCGCAGATAACACGGTAAAGCCGGCAGAAAGACGTGCGATGATCGCAGTGAATTTATGCTTAAGCCGAAAGACACCCTTTTTTTTTTAATTTTGCGACACATATTCATCCATATTACTGCGCCTATACACGGTGCGACACATGTCTGTACGATTAAATTGCAAATTTTCGATTTATTCGCTTGCTATTTTACGAGCGTTGCATCGCAACGTGTTGCTTCACTGCCAAAGAATGTCGCAAAACGATATATCGTTCGGCGGTTCGCAAATATTGCAGACAAATCTCCACGTGTCACGCGCACTTATGTGCACGCAAAAAAATGATTTAGTGATAGTAGCTAAATTTCAAGCTGAATCAAACTTAGCTATAAGAGCTACCGTTTTAGTGTCATTGCTAAGTTCTGGCTATTACAGATAAAAAACATTCACTGTGACAAAAAAATTTATTTGAAATTAAAAGCATATATTAGTACAGGCAGCTGAAAAGATGGCATGCGTACTTAAATATTTTATCATGCACACATTTAGCACACAGAGCCAAGTTTATAGCTACGCGTCAAAATTTGATTTGTAATTGTTTTTGCAATGTGGCACTACCATATGCACATTTTCGCGCATTTAGCATTTATATTTTGCAGTATATAAACTATATACTGCAAATATTATTATTCTATCGCGAAGATAAAATAACATAGTAGATTCGGCTAAATATTATTTGATTTTAGCAGCAAATATTTTTTTGCTGTAGCACCTACATTTTAATAAATTGAACTTCGGCAGCAACGACATTAGACTGTCCCTATTTTAACGACACATCTTAGCTGTCATAGCTATATTTTAGCTTCATTGGCTAATCCTTTTTCTGCGTGTACGTAAAGTGCCGCGCGTCTGTGATGAGAAATAAAACTGAAAATGCCTCCTAAAAGCTTAGGCGTTTCTCACATACTATATACGTATATGCATGTGATGTTATACATGCTTGGATATATTGTCCGTTAATAATGTCCTATTGTATTAGTTTATCGCTTATAATAAAATTAACTTAATTAATTAACCGCGAAAGGTAACAATTTTCGGCTATAACAAATTTCCTCTTGCTTCGAAATATCGATTTTAGTTAAAAACCTATACAATTAAAAATTATCCAATAAATTTGTAGACGAGAATTTGAAACAAATTTAGTTTTTGTTTTCTCAATCATTCCAAATTTATAGACAATATTGATTTTTTTTTAGTCTTTAATTAATATAAATCGCATCAGTGTTTTTATTCTTCTTTAAAAATTTTTTCCCTTTTTGTCATAAATATTTCGTAGGTAGAGTAATTAATTGTAGCTAAAGTAGAGACGCAGCTCTCTAAATGAAGCAAACGTACTGTCGTAAATCCACGAAATCGCCGAGAACGATTTTATAATCGCGCAGCGGCGCACGATGAATTACTCGCTTCTCTCGCGAACTCCTGATTAAAATAAAGCAATAAAGAGCGAGCGACCGATGCTTGTTTCGTTGTCGCCATGAAGTTATAACGTATATAAATCCGCGACTTGGCCATTCGATCGGACGAAAATCCCCGTCGTTGATCCGGAATTTTATGCGACGACACCCAAGAGCGCTCGGCCACGTGGCGCGGCGGCGCGGCGTCGCCACGCTATTTTTCTCTCGCCGCGTTATACGCGGATATGATTGGGTTTTTGCGTAAGCTCGACCGGCCGTAAACCTCGCTTTTACGAGCCTGATTACGGGGAGGGCCCCGATATTGCGCTAGCCCCGCGTCATCGTCGACGAGCTGCATCCCGAATGAAATTCCGACGCGACGCGACGCGCGGCCGCGATCAGCGATGCGACGCAGCAATCAGCTCGACTAATACGCGTTGTGATTTTATATCCGATGGATCTTGCCGCGAAATCGGGTAAGTGACTCTACCTCAACTGATGGTCTTTCAATCAAATAACGTTATTTGATTAAATAATACAACATAATTGCAGGACGATATAATTGTTTCGGCTTAATATACATATAATGGAGACATAATGCAATATTTGGATATCATGAGGCTTTACTATAATATAATTTATTTTGCGCGTGAGCGTAAATACGAAGTAATATAATTATTTTGGCACAATATAACCCGTAATGTAATATAGTTGGAAAATAGCGGCAAGTCTATTTTTGCCGTAATGGTAACGCGGTTTATAATCCATTATCAAAATTATGTTTCTAAACTTTTAACAAACCGGAACATTTATTTTTGACTTACATAGCATTTATGATTATTTTATTTTGCATTCTAGTTATTCAATATTACAGGAAAAGTATACTACAATTATTATTAGATGAAACATAAAAACAAAGCGCAGAGAAAATAAAACACGTGCACGTGCATGAAGCGTTACAGAAATTTAGAAATAAGCTCTCTACAAAAATCTATTTTTAAAACTCGAGTATTGGTAATGTAATGTAGTGATCTTTTGATTTTCAATGATTTTGCATCAAATTTGTCTAAACAGCAATTATCAAAACATGCACACAAATACAATACTCTAAAATACAACATTCTAATAGAGAAATAAAATCGGTATATTGTAACTTTTTCAATAAATCTATTTTTCTTTAAATTTACACTGTTAAATGGGACGTGCTTTTCATTTAATGTGTTAATAATCGCTGTCAAGACGAGCTCGATGACGTACGGCATAAAGTCGTTGCATACACGTGCACACATGCACGCAAAACACAAGAGTCCATCGATTCCCGAGCACCCTGCGGCGGCGGAGGTAACTAGGGCGCGAACTGGGCGAAGAGAGAAGGAGAGAGGGATGGAAGCTGGCGGTCTGAATTTACAGCATTTAATATCGGCAAAATGAAGTACGACCGCGGGAGGAGAGTGAGTAAGGAGCCGCCGTTTTGCGGCATCGATAAATTCATTTTATTGCCGCGGTTTGTAGGCGGGTGGTCTAACTTCGACCACCGCCTGCCGATGTGCCCGCGCGTATCTATCACGGTCTTTCCCAACGTATCACTCTTTTGAACGCTATACGTTTCAAATCTACATACGTGCGCGATCGCGAGTCTGGACGCAATCACTAGATGCGTCTGTTTTTTTTTTCATTTTTGTAAAAAGAATGAAATCGATATAAACTCCAAATGAGAAGACAAATCGTCAGCTGTTAATAATATATATAGTTCTTTCATCAGAATTAATTATAAAGCATTTAAAAATTTGTCGTTTTGAAAGAAAATTCTTTAGAAGAGAATCGATGCCAATTTATTCATCAACCATAGTCGAAACATCCGTGCCGTTGTCGTAATGTATTTATAGCAAACGCGAAGAAAACTCGAAGTCGAAACGGGTCGCTAAGATTTCGCAAGAAAACTTTAGAACCTCGTCGAGATGAGGGTTAATACTGCAATAATCCGGACTGTCGGGCTGCAGAATGACTCACCCCTTCGCGGCTCTCTTTCCTTCGTTTTTTAACTAAATCTTAGCGCGCATTGAGAGAGATTCGTTGAATTTATGAGACTTTGGCTTTAGAAGAGCGAGAAACTCGGGCGGGGGGATTAGCTTTGTCGAGCAATTCCGTGGACTACGAGCGAATTTTGTGACCGGGGAGAAGATACATTTCCAGCAATTAGCCGTTCTCGCGACCGCGAATTTATATTGTATAGATATATGCATACAAATTAGTATTCTAAGAAAAAAAAGAATAAAATGACGCGAAGTTAAAACAAATGAAATTAAAATCGGTTCAGTATTTTTTATCAAAGATTTGATAAAAATTTAATACTTTCGCTG